AAAAACAAACTGAGGGTTCTAGAGGGGAGGGGGGTGGGAGGATGGGTTAGCCTGGTGATGGGTATTAAAGAGGGCACGTTCTGCATGGAGCATTGGATGTTATGCATAAACAATGAATCATGGAACACTACATCTAAAACGAATGATGTAATGTATGGTGATTAACATAACAATAAAATTTTTTTAAAAATGTAAAAAAAAAATTCTAAGGTTACTTATCAAATTCCTTCCCCATCTCCTGTCCATTTAGTATTTGGGGTCAATCAACCCAAATGAGAGCCTGTCTAGTTTGTTTAAGCCATGCTTCTGCTTTTCCTTTTCTTTTTTCAATAGTCCTACTTCAGATTTTAAAACCTTAGAATTACAAGCCCAACTGCATTACCTGTTTGGATTCTTTGTGAATTGATGTGTACAAAGGTAATGAGCATGTTTAATCATGGAAACTGGCTGTCCCCCTCAGTGGACACGGTTCCAGTGAGAGCCGGTGGCCCACTGGCAAAGGGGCAGGGAGGGGATGATGCCTGCTAGCAGGTGTGTGATGACTCACAGTATGTAGCCTCCCCTCCCTGCTCCTCTGGGAGGTGCATTTGTGCAAATCATAGCTCTAAGCGTTGAGCTCAGAGCTGGCAATGTTCGGCGTTGTTTGTGAATCCTAAGGGATTCGTGGCTTTGGAGGAAGTCACTGGGCTTAGGTGGAACTCTTCTTTTCTGAATCAGAAGATGTTTTGCTTGGATTTAAAGAAGCTGAAGAATCCAATCATTGTAAATATTTCTAAAAAGATTTTTAAAGACTTACTGATTTATTTGGGAGAGAGGGAGAGGGGGACAGAGGGAGAGAGAGTCTTTTAAGCAGACTCCATGCTGAGCGCAGAACCTGATGGAGGGCTCCATCTCAAGACACAGATCACGACCTGAGCTGAAACCGAGAGTTGGATGCTTAACTGACTGTGCCACCCAGGTGCCCCTCATCATAAAATATCTTAGAATATTTGACATAGCATAGAATATGTGCTCCTGAGAGGTCTGAGATTTTAGGGATGTATAGGTGAAGACTCTTGAGCAGAGCAGAGTGGTTTGGCTCATAGAGTTACTTTTTGGAAGGCTTCATCATTCACATTGGCTGTGTTGTCTTCCACCAAACTAAAAGCTTGACTGCTCCCAAGCAGGGTAGTTGCGTCTTTTTCATCTTTGTATGTTTGATATGTAACATAGCGATTAGCACATGGTGGGTGCTCAGTAACAATACGTCAAACTGATGTAGACTGAACTGAAGGCTAGCTGTGGATTCGTGGTTTCCTAAGGTGCTGGGAGTGTTGAGAACTGCTTCCCCACCCATGTGCCATCTGGTGCTGCCTTGGTGGGACGGCCCAGTAGCTGGGGAGCTTAGTGGGCTTTCGCTAGAGAGTCAGTTTAGTTTAATGAGCTTCAGAGAAGGGTACGGGCTGAGGGACCTTTAAAATTTAAAGTAGCTCTGGCTCTTCCGGAAGCAGCACTGTTCCCTGAGGAGGTAGTACACTGGAGAGACATCCAGGGACTAGGTTGTCCTCTCCCAAATTTTCCATAACTTCTGAAATGCTCCCCTTGGCTCCACACAGAAGTCCCTTGCCATACTTGTGGTAACATATGGATTGCTTAGGCCAAGGGATAGTTCACTTTCTACAGTTTCCTCTTTCTCATAAGGGGAAGCGTGGCCAGGACCTGTTCTTTGAGTGTGTCCAAGGATAATGGCAGTGTTTTCTTGGGAGGCACATGGGTAAGAATGGATGATGGTATTTCAAGCCAATTGCAGAGGATGCATGTTTCATTATAAAAACAGGAAGCAAAATATTTCATTTCAGTGTTTCTATCTTCATAAAATATAAACTGAGTAACATAATTGCCTGTCTTATAAATTGTCAGTTTCAAAATCAACTTTTGAACTCTGTTTTTCAGTTAAAAACTAAGAAGTTTCTGATTAATGCTGGTTATCTCCCCAAACTTTGCTTTCTGACATCAGCTTAGCTGTGCCTAACACAATACCACTCTAACTGACAGGGAGATTGCTAGAATAACAACTCTGCAAGTTTATGTAACTTAGCTTTTTGCTTTTAAACCTTGCAGGTACAACGGTGCCAGCCCACAGGGCCATCCTGGTGGCCCGTTGTGAAGTGATGGCAGCCATGTTTAATGGGAATTACATGGAAGCAAAGAGTGTTCTGATTCCAGTTTATGGTGTTTCCAAAGAGACTTTCTTGTCATTCTTAGAATACCTATACACAGACTCCTGTTGCCCAGGTGAGCAGTCTGAATATTAGATACTATCTTACAACTTTTATTTCCTTGTCACTCATTTTGATAAAGTGCTTTCTATGAAATTTGTTTTTCCTTAAGATTGATCAGAGTTGATATCATGGAATGTACTAGTCAGGTGAGGTGGTATTGGGACAACCATGAATTTTCAGTCAGTTCTCACATCCCAGGCAGCCCCAACAGTGTGGTGATTATGTGGACACCTAGGAATGGAGGTGTTTTGTGGTACCCAGTGACTAATTCTACAGACTGGAACATCCCTTCTATAAAGAGAAGAGGTTAGGGCAGCAGCTTTTATGGCTCTAACTTGTGATTGAGGCACTTTTAAGGACTTTGAATATTCTGAGACCCCTTGGTCATCTCTGTGGCTCAGAGAATGTGAGGGTTTTTTTTAAAGCCTTCTTCTGAATACCCCTAAAGTCATACCCTCCTTAAACTAACTTCTCCAAAAACCTTTCCTGAGATGTTTAGGATACCCAGCAGACTGGAGGATTTATATCCCTATTTACTGACTTAGGACTGTCTTTGACTAAAAACTAATCATCTTTGGCAGCTATAGGTTGGAACAGACCTTGCAGGGTTTTTTTCTAGCTGGGGGTCTCCTTGGAGGAATTGCAAAATCCTTTCTACAGTCCTAGAGCTTTGGGATGCCGGCACGGAAGCCCCCTTAATTCATCTTCTTCCTCTGGCCACTAGATGGCTCCCACCACAAACACAAGTACCACAAACACAACTAGAATAAATCCCTGGCGGTTTACTTACTTAGTCAAGGAGGCCGAGACCTTGATTACAGGACCTGGCCAGGTATTCTAGCAAATATAAAAAGAAAACACACATTTCAGACCATCGCTCTTTTCAGATTTATTGCTTTCACTTTTAGATTAAGAACTTTTTCAACCTTTGTTATTAAAATTTCTTCAAGTTTTAAACAAGTCATGAGCCCTCTAGTGAAAGGTTTTAGAAGTTCAAAAAAAGAAAATTCCTTTTTTAACTGAATTAATTCTGGTCTTGCAGCCAGCTGTAGAGTATTTTGAGGCCAGTTACAGTTGCTACTGTCAGTGTTACAGATGGGCTTATTATATTTCCTTAATAAAAAGGAAAGCATAGATTCTCATCAGAATGTGTGTTATTGTTTATTTTATTATTTTAATATTGGCGAATTTGTATGTTAAATAAAAATTTTGACCCAGATTTGAATAATAAGAAAATTTAGTTTCTCAGTCATCCTCCCACTAATAAATTGAAGCTTCAAATTTTAGGTCTTCTCTTGCTAATTAGAAAAAATGCTCAGAGAAGCACTAATAACTATAGGACAAAGCACTTTAAAACTTGGTAAAAGGTGTGGGGAGAAAATGAATCAAAATTAATAATCAGAAAGTAGATCAGTACTAGAATGTTTGTATTGGGAAATCGCAGAAAGAAAGATGATCTATTCATTGTGTTAAGTATGGATCATACACAGTGTTCTTGGTTCCTAGCTACAAAACAATGCAAGAAATTTAAGGAGAACTTAGAAAGAGAATAACCTGAAAAATCACATCTAGGGAAGTTTAAAAAAAAACACAAACACACACACACACAAACAACCTGAGTGATTGCCAGGGGTTAAGGGAAGGTGGAAATGGGGTGTTATTGCTTAATGGGTATAGAGTTTCAGTTTGGGAAGAAGAAAAAAGTTCTGGAAATGGATGATGGTGATGGTTGCACCACAATGTGAATGTACCTTAATGCCACCGAACCGTACACTTTAAAGTAGTTAGTGATAAATTTTATGTTATGCTTGTTTTGCCACAATAAAAACAACAAACAAACCTGGGGACTAAAGAGAAGAAAAATTACAAGGATTTAGTTTAGCTAGCCTAAAGAATTACATAACAGCCTTAGAACTGATTATTTAAGGGCAATTGTAGAATTGCCTTCTCTGAAGAACTAAAAAAAACAACAATGAAAATATTCACTTTAGAGTGTGACGGCTTAAATTAATTCTTTTTAAAATGGCATAATAGGGGTGCCTATTTATAGGGGCTCCGTCGGTGGAGCGTGCAACTCTTGATCACAGGGTGGTGAGTTCGTGCCCCGTGTTGGGTGTCGAAATTTCTTAAAAATAAAACCTTTAAAAATAAGTAAATAAATAAAATGGCATACTAGTGTAGAGTGCAGACTCACTCCTTCTAGGCTTTTTCTCTGCATTCTGTTGTACACTGGGTGATATAGTCAGCCTTGTTTTATTGTTGTTGGTTTGCTTTTTGTTGTTGTTTTGTTTTAGATCATAAAAGAAACGGCTTTATTGTCCATTTGCTCTTATTTCCCTTCCTGCCTCAGCGGGCATTTTCCAGGCTATGTGTCTTCTGATCTGTGCTGAGATGTATCAGGTGTCCAGACTGCAGCACATCTGTGAGCTGTTCATCATCACGCAGCTGCAGAGCATGCCGAGCAGGGAGTTGGCATCTATGAACCTGGATATAGTTGACCTGCTCAAAAAAGCCAAGGTACTTGCCCCTGTGTATCTGGTTGTTTGATTAAAAAAAAGAAATTCTTCTAAAAATTATACTACTTTTAAAAAATTTCTATTTGTTGAGAGATACATTAGTGTTTGTCTCAGTTTGGAAGTTTGGCCAAATGAGGGTAAAGTGCCCTCACTGCAATTTCTGTGGCTAGATCATTTTGAAGCATCAGATTTTTGAGCAGTTTTTTTCCAAGGAGGTAGAATTTGCGGATAGGAAAGTTTTCACCCAAATGGTGGCCTTTATTGGAGTCATCTGAGTATGGTGCTTTATTACGCCATGTCGGCATTATAGGAAATAGAACTTAGGTTGAATTTCCCCAAAGCAGTCACATCTTAGGGTTCAAGAAGAATTGGTCCATGCATGCTAACAGAGATGGTTAGGCTAAACTCATTTATTTGTTCATTCATTCATCCTTTCACGTCATGGACGTGTTTTGAAGTTTCCCAGTTGTTTGTAGGAGGTATTGGTACTTCATTAATCCTTTCAAAGTGCCGTTTGTTGATATGTCTCATGTATATCCAGTATAAACATTTGAGTTGAGAATTACTACAGTACACCATACTTTCTGGCTTCTTAAGCTTAGGGCCTTTTTGTTTTTTAAGAATTGCATTGCTACACATTGTAGGGAACAGAGTTTACACGGTTAAGCTAATTGTGAATAACTGCGACTAGGGTCACAGAGACCCTAGAATCTGAATCTCACAAAGGACCGGGCCGATCTATAAACTAGGTTTGCCGTCTTGAAGCCTGCTGGAACCTGCTTGCTGATGTTGTCCCAGTTAAAAATCTGTTATTTCCTCATTCCCCCTAAGAGGAACCAGGAAGTTTATCCAGACATGTCATCTTACCCTTGGTTATTCTACTGTTCCATCCTCTGCCCTATGACAGTTTTAAGGCTTGTGGCAGTCATGGAATATAATGGTCTATATTGAACTTGCCGTAAGCTGAAACTTCTAGGTCTTTTTCACAGGAATATATCTGATCCATCATTGGTAACCATCAGGACACTGTAAAATGTTATCTGGCATACAACATTTGGCTATCCCTATCACCTTTGACATCCAAAATTAGAAAAAGAGGACAACTTTGTCTTCAAGTTGCTAAAATGGAGCCACATAATGGGGCAAAGGAAAGACCGCTAAAAGCTTGCCTCCCCGTTGAGATGAATTCATAAAGCAATAATGTATATTTCTGGGCATAAGATTCAAGAATTCATTTGAAGCATCTAGGTCTTCTCTTACTGTCTCCTTAACTATTTTGGAGTTCATTTCTTTCATAATCAAGTGTTAAGACCATATATATTAAATTTTAAGGATAAAATTTAATTTAGAAAACTGAGTAACCTTCTGCACAGTGTTGGAGCTCAGAGCTGAAGCCACTCTCACAAGTGTAGGCAGCGTGCACACGAGGGCTAAGTCCTTTGCTAACACCACAAGGGTCTCTGGCCCAATGAGAGCAGTGTGATAGTAATTCTTGCTACAGGTAAAACCAAACCAAACCAACCCCTCCCCCACCCCCCCCGCCAAAACCTGAGTAACCTCGATCTCTCTAATGTATTTACACTGAGCTTGGGATAAATAGCTAACCTCTAGATTTAGTTTAAAATTTCTTTTTCATTCATTCTGGTATTTTTCACAACCTCTCTTCATTTTTGATGTATCATTTTCATACTCTTCTACCAAGTCTGTCATACTTTAAAAAAATGGTCACAATGGGGCGCCTGGGTGGCTCAGTCATTAAGCGTCTGCCTCCAGCTCAGGTCATGATCCCAGAGTCCTGGGATCGAGCCCCACATCAGGCTCCCTGCTCGGCGGGAAGCCTGCTTCTCTCTCTCTCCCACTGGCCCTGCTTGTGTTCCCTCTCTCGCTGTCTCTCTGTCAAATAAATAAAATCTTTAATAAAAAAAAATGGTCACAAGCTTTTCTTTCCTTATCTTGTCGTATCCTTTTAGTTCCTGCATCCGAGAATCTCCTGTCCGGTTGCAATGATGTTTTAGGTCGCACGCATGGACGTGTGCACACGTGCATGTCTTTTATGGTTGTGTCGTCAGCGGTTCTTCCTGACCTGTTTTCCCTGACTCTGTGCTTTCTGATTATGTAATTATCCTTATTTATTTCTCTTTAACTTTAAAAGTTTAAGACACCAGCCCTTTTTGAATTTTACTTTTTGTTTCTGAAGACTTTTCTGTTTTCTAGGATTAAGTCTCCATTTACCAGTTTTCCCTTATTCTATTCCTGGTGGTCCCTAATTTGGCAATTACAAATCCAAGATAACAGGATCATTTTCTTCACCAGTTCTCTTGGAAGTTTCTAGTTTGAGGCTTTAGTTCACCAGCCAGTTCATACTGTTGGTCAGAATTTAGTTAACCTTTCCTTCATTGTTTCTCTGACTTCTGGGAGGTGAAATTGTCTTTTAGCAGAATTAAACTTTGAGTAGCTTTTTGAATGATCAGAATTTCCAAACGCTCTGTTGTCATCTCTGGTAGCTTTGCATTGTTTATCAGGAAAGCATCCTTCATACCTTTGATATAGTTGAGCAGTTTGGTATTCTCTCACTTCTGCTTCCTCCTTCCCCTAATGTTTCTCCCTCAAGTTCATCTGTTTCCATCAAGTTGGACTTCTATCTTGCAGGAGAAGCTTTTTTCCCTCAATCAGATTAAGTTCTTTGAACTCTGGTAGACATCTTCTTATCTCTGCTCCCTTTTATACCCTAACTAGCCGAACTTTGGTGATTCCTCTGAAGTCCTGTTAACCATATTTAAGGTTTCAAACTCAATATCTTACTTATAAAAACTCAATATCTTACTTATAATCTGTGCATTAATATTTATTTGGCTGCTTCAGGCCACCAGTTTTGTTTCTGATCATCTCCTTGTGAGTTTCTGGGTGTTTTCTCCACCATTATTATTCTTCACAGAGCTATTAAATGCTATAACATTTTGTTTGTGGTATTTTCAAAGCCTTTCTTTTTTATTCTGTTGTTTATTTCAGCTTCAGCCTGCTTTGTCTTGGGTGCCTGGGTGGCACAGTCAGATAAGCATCCAATTCTTGGTTTCTGCTCAAGTTGTAATCTCGGGGTTGTGGGATTGAGCCCTGAGTCGCATCAGGCTCCATGCTCAGCGGGGAGTCTGCTTAAGGTTCTCTCCCTCTCCCTCTGCCCCTCCTACTCATGTGTGCACATGCGCATGCTCTCTCTCTCTCTCTCTCTCTCTGAAATAAATAACTTAATCATAAAACAAACAAACAAATAAATAAACCTGCTTTCTCAGGTTAGCACATATTCTTCCAAAAAAGTAGTTCTTACAGTGAACTCTTTATCTTCGCTAAGAGCCTACAGTTATGATATCTTAAATCTTGGTCAAAAATAAAATTCTGCATTTTACCACGTTTTTGTAGCCAGCTATTCATTTCTTTGATCTTCCTTCTCCAAAAAGTCACAGCCCTTAGGCGATGTTTTCAACTTTTGTTTGTAGGTTATCTGCTTTGGGTTAGTCATCTGATAGTGCTGGTGGCTTCCGTTAAAATAGCTACACATTCTTGTTCTGTCTCTTTGAGATCGCTCACATCTATATGCTGAAAGTTAAGGTGAATAAAAATTGGTAAAATGTGATGTGGGATTTGATGAACCATAAAGTGTCTTACAATTCAAAAATTCTGATTTTGTATGATGAAAATCAAGGAACCTGTGGATTTACATGTGAAAATATTCCCACATTATAACTTTTTAAAAGAGCAATGCTTGAGTTTCTTCCTTAAGATGTGGGATTATAAATCTTTCTTTGATTTGGCATTACTTATTGCTTATATAATATTTTTGAGTTTCCTTAAAAGAGCTATATTTAGCTTAAAGGTGAACAGCCTAAATATCCATCAACAGATGAATGAATAAATAAAATAGGGTATATACATGCAGTGGAATATTACTCAGTCCTAAAAAGGAATGGCATTGTAATACATGCTGCAACATGGATGATACTTGAGGACATTATACTAAGTACAATAAACCAGACAGAGAAAGCATACCTATTGTATATGTCAGTGTCTGTGAGGTACCTGGAATAGTCAAATTCATAGAGAGAAACATAGAATAGTGGTTACCAGGGACTAGGGGTAGGGGCAAAAGGGGAGTTATTGTTTAATGAGTATAGAGTTTCAGTTTGGGATGATAAAAACATTCTGGAAATAGTGGGGATGGTTGCATAATAATGTGAATTTACTTAATGCCACTGGTACTCTTAAAGAAGGTTAAAATGGTAAATTTTATGTTATGTGTATTTTGACCACAATAATAACAAAAAGAACTATACTCATGTATCACAGTGGACTGCCAGCACATTACTGTAGTCTGAATTGAGTGCTTAGATGGATCGGTGAGCATCACTGGACTGGCACCAAGGTGAGGATGTCATGGCCATGGTGCTCTGAGTTTCCCTTCCATTAGCTTTTGAAATTCAAAATGAGAAACGTACTGGAAATTATAGTGAGTTGGATTACTACATCCTAGTTAAAAGCATCCTTTTAACTACATCCTAGTTAAAAGCAACTGTTCAGACATAACCTTCTCATAGAAATACGTACACATTGAAACCCATCTCCTTAGATTGATGACATTTCCTCCACAAAATATTTTTCGGTTTGCTCCTCAGGTGAACTTGTTTAGATATGGCCACGTGTGTACCTCCGCTAACCATAATCTTATCTCTGCTACACAGATGTAAGTGCAATTAGTAAAGGCCGTGACCTTAGATTAAAAGCTTAAAGGAAATCCTTAAGAACCTCCAAGAGTCTCTGTTAACCACTGACGCGGTGTGCCGCTGTCCAAGACACTTAGCCACTCCAGCCCCGGTGGCTTGTTACTCATTTGATTTGGTTTCTTCACTGATATAATTTTTGTATTACATGTAAAGAATTCTCCCTTTTCCTTTCTGCTCTCAGAATAGGCAGAAGGCTGCATCATATATGGATGCCGTCAACATGGAGTCGGGCTCTCTGCGACTTGTCCCAGACCATTCTCTCCACCTATTCATCGTCTCGATGGTTATTATATACAACATTGTTTCACTTTCCACTTTTCTTGCAGTTTCACCACTCCGATTGCCTTTCAACCTGGCTACTTCATTTCATTGCCACTAACTACCTCATCTTCAGCCAAAAGCCTGAATTTCAGGATCTTTCAGGTAGATTGCCAATTACTGTTTTGAAAAGAAAACTTCGTTCTTTGTTCTTAGGTTGAAGACATAGTTTGTAGGAATAGTAGTTGTTAGGGCGCCTGGGTGGCTCAGTTGGTTAAGGAATAGTAGTTGTTAAAAAACAAAAAGTAAAAAAAAAAAGTCAGTGTAATACATTCATCTTAACTACACAGTGTGGTAATGGAGGATACTTTAACTTACAGTCACCTGGTTATAAAAACAGCTTGACCAGTGTTACACAAGAAGCTTTCTAATGATTGTTTTATAGCTCCCATCCATTTTTAAGTGCACCTTTTCTCTGAAGTAGAGAGATAAGGTGGCCTCAGGTGGCATTTGATTGTGATAAATGATACCTTGGTTTTTAACCACCTAAGTCAGAAGCAAAATTTAAACAGTACAGATTTAAACATTTTTTCTTGTGAAGGAATTGTAACTATCCTTTATTATTTATAATATGTAGTTCTGATATCTACATCTATTTAAGTCTATCTGTATAGTAATCCATTATATTACTTGGGAATTAACAGTTTTTTAATTGGTCAAAGAATGTTGCAAAACGTACTGAATAGAGAGTATACCTAATGTGATCTTTAAGGTAAATTGTCAAGATTAAAACCAATCAAAGTGTGAGCTCCTGAGTGCTGCATAAGAAGAAAGAAAATGAAAACAGAAGAGTCATCAGAGTAGACGGTCAGTTTAGATACGATGGTTTGCTCATGTTATCTAGCCTAGGTGCAGGGAATAATCCAGTTAAGTGGTTTTAAACTCTAAGCAGGGAGGTGTCCTTGGAGATACCTGCAGCTTTTCTGAGGTGTGGGCGGAGAGCGGGGAGCGGCTGAGGAAGAGGAGGGAAGGGAGAAGGGGAGGCTGGAGTTTGTAGATCTTGGACGCCCAGCCCTTTAACCAGAGTAGTTCCACTTTTATCTGTTTTATCTGCTGTTCTCCGTAAAATTTGACTTCTAAAAGATAATCTGCTGCTAAAATATTTGAAGATCTCTGGTTTCTTTCAGCTACTTGCACAGATAAGGAAACCAGGAAACCGTCTATTTCTGGCAGATAGATTCAGTTAGTTGACAAACATCGTATGCCTATTGGGAGCCTTCTTACATAGAGCTGAATTATTAGTGCAGTCGTAGTAAGGCAGAATATAGGTATTTCCTAACCATCTACTTTGTGCAAGAAGGAAACTAATTCCATTCATAAAGAGAAGGCATGCTTCTTGCTGTTAGGAGGGACATTCTAATACAGTCATTCTTTAAGAAATCAATTCAAAATGAAATGAGTGAACATTGTGATTCTAGAACTACCTTTGTGATGCTGCCTTAGGTCCCCTTCATTCGTATTTTCCATTTACTGTCTTGTATAGATGAATGCCACACATGGAGCACTAGTACAACCTTAGGAGAAAGGTGCTCTATAAATCCTTCGAATTATAAATTTTTATTTTATTACTTATACAATTGACTATAAAGTATGTTATGACCAACTGGCATAGTGAGAAGCAGGACTCCAGGATGTAATTTGAGAAGGCAGGTAAGAGGATGAGGCTGTGTCCTTGATTGTCTTCTGTTCCTTTGATGGGAACTAAAAAGGTATCATGAATGCTCCAATTCAGTGGTACCTGTTTATGTTCAGGACCTGCTGTCATGTGTCCTTGGGGGCAGAGAAAAAAGCCCCTGGTGGATAAAGGAGAATTAGATAGTCTAATTGAGTGGTCACAAACTGGGAATCTGTGGGTCGAAAGTAGCTGAATACAGTCTGCCAAGGGGTTTTATTTGGACCACACGGTATTACTTTTTTTTAGTGTCACCATTTAAAAATTGTAACATGTCACATCTTAAAAATCCAAATTTCTGGCTTCTTTTGAAAAGTTGGAAGATCTGGCTGCCCTGGGCCCATCTTCCCACATGGCAGCAACCTGGAGCTGAGCAGTAGCTCAGCCCATTTACAGTAGCATGTCTCCTTCAGAATGTCCTGGTCACCTCTCCTCTCTGTTGTCTCACACTTGAACTGCCTCACATAGCCACTTGAAGTTGGAAGGGTTCTTGTCACAGTTTACAGCTCCCTTAAATAATTTCCCATTTTCAGTTTCAAACATTATCAAGTAATCATTGGAATTCTGTGAAGCGTTTTCTCTTGCCTGAGAATTCTTCTTCTTTAGGGGTGTTTAGAAACAGAAAAGTGAGACTAGACAAGATGTCATGTTAATGCTGACATTGATACAGCAGAAGTCAGTTAAGTAGCTCATTCAATGTTAGGTATATTTTATATGTTGGACTCTTTTAAACACAAATAGCAATGCATAGGAAAATAAGTTACCCTTGGCATTTATGGATTCATTATTCTCACAGTTTGATTTAGCTCAATATTATGTTACATAATATATATTGTGGAGTTTTTTGTCCTGTTTTGGTTTTTGCTGGCTGCCAGAGCTCATCTGTGATAACTTTTCTCTCTCTTTTTTTAAATCTTAACCAAAGGAGTAGTCTTATGTCATGTTTGTGTACTAATGAACCCTACAACTAACTTCCCTGAGCTGCTAGGTTGTTTCTTTTTGTACACGTCCTGCAGCCTGGATCATAACCTTATTAATCCGAATTGTAATATATGAGGTCAAATAGTAGATGGGGAAGTGGGAACTGACTTTGCAGAAGGAAATCTAAGTACCCGCAGAAGGGAATGCTGATGAGAAGCAAGCTGAGACACCCAGCAGAAAACCAAGAAGCCTTAGAAATCTGAGGGACCAGGTATTTCAGAAAGCAGAATGAGGCTACGGGCTGAAAGCAGTAGAATTAGTTAAAAGTTATGAAGAAGGGGGCGCCTGGGTGGCTCACTCAGTTGAGCATCTGACTCTGGGGTTTGGCTTGGGTCTTGGTCTTGGGGTGGAGCCCTACATCGGCTCTGCGCTCAGCAGGGGGTCTGCTTGAGATTCTCTCCCTCTCCCCCAGCTCACGTGCACTCTCTAAAATAAATAAATAAATAAATAAAATCTTTAAAAAAAAAAAAAAGAAAGTTATGAAAAAGCTTTTGCTGCACTCCATCCCACCCAGGCAGGCAACTCCTTCTTCATCATCGTAGGAGATGGGAGGTTTATTCCTGGCGAAATTAAACCAAAAAAGTTATAGAATCACAAACTCCAGGTATAGCTGAGATTGGTTGGGTTAAGGAGCTGAACTGAAGGGGCGCCTGGGTGGCTCAGTCGGTTAAGCATCTGCCTTCAGCTCAGGTCATGATCCCAGGGTCCTGGGATCCAGCCCCACATTAGGCTCCCTGCTCCACGGGGAGCCTGCTTCTCCCTCTCCCACTCCTCCTGCTTGTGTTCCCTCTCTCACTATCTCTCTCTCTGTCAAATAAGTAAAATCTTATTAAAAAAAAAAAGCTGAACTGAAAACATGAGGATCACGTGGAAGTGTACACGTTGTGTGGTAAGCTACCAGCTCCTCCTGGGTCCAGATTCTAGAATTCTGGCACTGGGCATCGCTGCCTTGACTCCCACACTCTGGGCATGAGATTGAAGCATCTTTCTCTGGCCCTGGAGAAAAAATATATAGATGCAATCATTTGGAAATTCTGTCAGTGAACCCAACAGATATCTGCTCAATTATTCCACTAGTCAGTAAGTCCTACCCATGACCACGTGATATCCAAACAGCTATCTACTATCTCACTCTTAAATGTAAGGGTATAACTGAGGATCTTCAGATATTTTAGGCAATATCTAACATGAAAGACAGATACCAAAACCAAAATAAAAACAGAAGAGAAAGAATAGAAAAAAACCTTTAAAAATCCTAAAATTAATATCCTCAGAGAATAAAAGATATAAATTCATAAAGCAGGAGAGAATGTTATTTAAAAAGAAACAATATTCACAAAGACAGAAAATAGAATGATGGTTGCCAGGGACTGGGGGTGACAGGGAAATAGGGAATTGTTAATGGGTATAGAGTTTTAATTTTGCAAGATGAGAAGAGTTCTGGAAATTGATTGCACCACAATGTGAATGTACATGATGATACTGAACTATATACTTAAAAATCGTTAAGATAGTAAATTTTATGTTATGTATGCTTTATCATAGTCTAGAAAACAATACAAAAACAAGGAGTTCTTGGAAATTACAAACATGATAGCAAAAAACAAAAACAAAACAACAACAACAAAAAACAAAACCCTAAATAAGAGTTGAAACAACTACATAAAAGTTGAAAGATAAAGATGAGGACATCTTCTAAAAAGTAAGACAAAAAGATAAAGAAAGAGGAGAGAAAGTTTTTTTAAAAAGTTTGGGGCTCAATCCAGGAGATGAAGTATCTGAGTAAAAGAAGTTAATACAGAATAAAACAGTGGAGAGGAAATTATCAAGGAAGTAATACAAGAAATTATCCTAGTCCTGAAGGACCCGAGTCTTAAGACTGAAAGGACCTGCTAGGCGCTCAGCGTTATGAGTGAACAAAGCCCATCCCTGGGACGTACAAGAACACCGACTATAAATAGAAAAATATGAAAGTTTTAAAAGAACACAGATTACTTGCCAAGAGCTATAAATCTGAATGGTAGAGGAGTGTTTAATAACCTTGGAAACTAGAATGCAGTGGAATTCTGTCTTCAACATTCTGAGGGAAGTTTTCCACCTAGAATTCTGTACTAAACCAAATTATCAATTATGTGTGAAGAGGATAAAGATGTTTCATCACAGGCAAGGTCTCAAAAATGATTCAGACGGTACCCTCTTTTTCAGAGAGCTAATAAAGTTTGTGCTTCACCAAAAATGGAAAATAAACTGAGTGAAGGGCCTGGAGTGCAAGAGTGGAGGGATCCAACACAGAAGCAGGAAGCAGGCCTAGAAAGCAGGAGGGTGCAGGGCTGTGAGGATAAGGGGCCAGCAGCTGCCACCAGAGTGGTTAGCTTGTCCGGTGACTGTGGCTGGGTGGAGACTTGAGAGAATAGACTTGAGAGGACCTGAAAGAGTTTGGGAGGCTGAGGTAGCTACAAAGAAAACTAAGTGAAAAACAAGTCTGTTATCTCCAAGAAAAGTCTTATTCGTAAGGAAAAACAAAAGAATATACGTAGTACTTGATGAAGCAGTGGACAAGACGTATATTGTTGCAAATCACATAATAATTTAAATCCTGATGACTGATTTTACCGAAAGTGTGTTAAACAGTTGTGGACGCATTGAGAGAAAGGTAGGGGATATGTAGCCGAACTCACATATCCTCTATTAAATAGGAAATCAGTAGTTAATATCTAAACTTGATCCAAAATAAAATATATGCAATTAACATTCTTTTTCTAAAAATTTTAGTGGAAGAACGCAGTTTTGTTGAAAAGCACAGATGGCCATCGAATATGTACTTGAAGCAGCTTGCGGAATACAGGAAGTATATTCACTCCCGGAAATGTCGTTGCTTAGTAATGTAACCCAGAGCTTTTATATGCATATGCTTTTTATTATTATTATGAAGAAGAATGGGATACCTCTGTGTTCCAGTAAAATTCTGTGACTGAAACCAATATGGGTGTTTAAAAAACTACCATACAGCTTAGTGTGTTTGTTAGTTCTCTGAAAAAAACTACTATTGTGATCTTAAAAGGGAACGAAATATACCGTAGGCTAAAACCAAGGCTTCACCATTCTAGTATGTAAAGCTGTCATACAGCTTCTTTTCCCCTTTAAAATGCCCAGTTGCTTTAGTGATATTAATACACCTCCCAGTTAAGTAATGTTTAAGTTAAAAAAAAAAAATCATGTAGTATTAATTAAAATTTTTCATTATGTCTGATTAATTGCTCTATTAAAATAAGGGCATTTTAAAGACCCAGTATGACTATTTCAATAATGAAAAATCTAGGGTAAAGCTGATCAATCTGAAATTTTAGGAATAGAAATTTGCATGGGATTTTGAGAGTGAAATGCCGCCTGATTTCACATCAGTGACAGTGTTTGGACCATCATGAAAAAGCTTTGTTTTTTATGTGGACAACCCAGCTGAGCCACTTTGTCTCTTCTGTGGGATTCTGACTGGGCAGGAAACCTGAACAGGGCTGGCTTCACAGCCGTTGCACCTGTCTCACCACCAGGGCCCCGTGCTTGGTTCGATGCTCTGCTGTTGCCATCTTGAAATTCTTAATAATGTTTAAAGAGAGGCCCTGCATTTTCACTTTGCACTGGGCCCCCCAAAGTATGTGTGTCTCCTAACAGGATATGTATTGTATTTTCTTGCTCAAACATCATTCTCTCTGAAAGCAAAAAAGAGGCACTGACATGGAGGGAAGAGAAGGAGGCTTGCTGGAGCGAAGAGATCACGTGGGGTTTCCCATTCTTGGGGACGTCTGTACCACGAGGGGTGGAGGGGGCTCTGCTGCCACCTTGGCGGGCAAGGGAGATACGCCTTGTGTTTACTCAGCTTTAAAACGCTCACAGTTCTGGCTCTATCACAGTTGAACAAATGCTTTCTTGCTCATTCTAAGACCGGGGTGTTGGTAAAAGCGACTGACCGGGGTGAATTTAAAACGCATTTATAAAAATGCTCGTAGGAAGAGATGCTTTCTAGAGAAATTGCAATCAGTGGCTAAAGAGTTTTTTGTTTCATGCACTTACTAAGGTTAGGAGACCTGCGGCTTGAATTGTTTGAATTCTAAGGACCATAATGTTATTTAATGAGGAGTAGCATGAATCTTGTCCTTCAAGATAACCCAGTAAGTTAAGAGAAAGGTTAAAGACTCAGTACATAGAAAATGGTACTAGCATAGAATTATAGTTTCTCTTGTATCACATGTCAACAGAAATAATGAGGAGCTCACAAGCCGAGAGATGGAAAACGAGATTACTATTTATCGATAACATCATTTTCATCTGTAATTCAGTATTGGGATATATTTTTCTTTTAATTTCTAATGACTTCAAGGACACCAAGTTTTTTCAACTATTCAAAGGTTTGATTAAACAGTTTTATACCACAGTATTAGACATAATACTATACAGTTAGTCCTTGGATGTATATCAACACTGTTAGAGTAAAACAGTAAAAATGCCCTATATAGATCTTCCAAGAAACCTGATTTTAATTAGATTATATCAATGAAGATTACTGGAATGCATTTTATGTTTTTTGTATTTTAATCACTTGAGTTAACTCTTGGCAAATCCCATTTGATAAGGATAAGCATTGTAAAGAATAAATACTATAGTAGATCTCTAGAAATTCATCACATATAAGATCTTTTAAAACACAGTAATAGCCGTATGTTCTTCCTAAGGTAGTCTTTCCCCTATGTGAATTACAGCACTTAAAATTCTAAATCAGTAACTTTTGATCTAGGAAATTGAAAAAAACATTAAGTTCTAAAGCAAAATATTTTCTTGAAAGTACTATTTCACATTTACATAGACCATAGATACTTTTGAGGTTGTTTCACCTGAGTGGAAGTTGAGTTTGGAAGCAGGTGCTCTGTGGGTGTTGAGCATGTAGATTTTATTACGAAAGTCCTTTACCACCTGTTTGAGTAACTCGAGCACACAGATGTTGTGGCTCTTCAGAGCTAGTCAGAACAGTAATCAAATTAGTTTTTAAACCTAGACTCTTCAGTACCTTTGAATTAACTCAATTTAAAATAACAAGAAATTTAAAAATACTTATAAACTATCTTGGAGAAATGAGTGCTCTTTTTGAGTTTTTTTTTTAATTGAAAGATTATTTCTAGATGAATGTATGCTTTGAGTTCATCTCTGCTTCAATATATTTACCAATCATTTTAATTAGAGAAGATACTGTGTGATAGAACTAAGGCCTTTTCTTTTTGGGCCAGGTTTTCACCTTATATAGCCCTTTGTATACTTCTGAGTGCTCTCTGTTCCTATTATAAGAGAGTAGGCTTATAAAATAGAAGTTTCAGTAACATAACTGAAATTCACCTTGTCCAGCCGGCATGGCAGCTTCACATTGGGCAGTGGCAGAAAACCGAACAGTTGGATAAATTGAACTTCCAAGACAGCTAAACTTTTCAATTGCAATTTTAAAAACTACACTACACTGACATAATTAGAAAAAAAATTTCCTCAAGAGTACTTTATTTTATTTAAAGCATCTGTTTAATTCAATCTTTAATAATTTTGCTAAGAAGGGTATGTGTGTATTTTAATATAGCCTGACCTGAATTTATATGTTTTTAGTTTTAGTATTTAACATTTTGTAACAAATAAACCTTTTTTAAAACAAGTTTAACACAGTGTCCTGCAATTATTTTACCTCGGATGTGGAAATGCTGGAATAAATTTGGGAATACTGCCTGTGTTTCTCAAGCATAACTATGTTTCACAGATAATTTCCATTACATGTAGGGTATGTAGAATGTTGTTGATGTTGTAGATGCCTGTGATGAGATAAAGACATTTATATTACCTTGACCAGCTGGTACCAGAATTTCTCTTAACAAAATAACTGCCTTTATTTAGAAAAATGTTTTGATAATTATTTACCATGGAAGTGAGCCCCATGGGCTTGAGTGTTGGCTGAGGCCAAGACTTTTGAGAAGTAGGGAAGCCGCTCTGCGTAATAAAAGGTTAAGAAGTTGGAACTTTCCAACAAAATGGAAAGACAAGCTACTGAAGGGGAGAAAGTTCATGCAAAATCATTTATCTTATAATGGGTTAATATCCAAAATATGTAAAGAACTCATACATCTCTTAGCAACAAAGCAACACAATGTAATTGAAACATGGGCAGAGAATCTGAACAGAGATATTTTTCTAAAGAAGACATAGACATGGTCAGCAGGCACATGAAAAGATGCTTAGCAGAGCCAGACATGCAAATCAAAACCACAATGAAGTATCACCTTACACCTGTTAGAATGGCTATTATCAAAAAGATGAGATAACGTGTTGGCGAGGATGTGGAGAAAAAGGAACCCTTGTGGAATGCTGGTGGAAACAGATTGGTGCAGCCACTATGGAAAACAGTGAAGAGGTTCCTCAAAAAATTAAAAATGAAACTACGATATGATCTAGCAGTTCCACATTTGGGTATTTATCTGAAAAAAAAATGAAAAAACTAACTTGAAAAGTTATCTGCACCTCCATGTTCATTGCAGCATTATTTACAATAGCCAAGACATGAAAACAACCTAAGTCTCAATCATTGGATGAAAAAGGGATAAGGCAAATGTGGTGTATATATACAATGGAGTATTATTCAGGTATAAAAAACTATGAAATCTTGCCATTTGTGACATGGATGGACCTTGAGGGCGTTACGTTAAGTGAAATAAGTCCAACTGAGAAGGACAAATACCATGTGAGCTCACTTACATGTGGAATCTTAAAACAACAGCAACAACAAAAGCCACCAGGCTCATACAGAGAACAGATTGGTGTTTGCCAGAGGTGGAGGTTGGGGATTGGGGATGGGTGAAATGGGTAAAGGGAGGTCGAAAGGTATAAACTTCTAGTTATAATATTTTATCATTGGATGTAATATACAGTATGGTGACTAGTTAATACTGTATTATTGTCTATTTGAAAGTTGCTAAGAGAATAGATCTAAAAGTACTCATCACAAGAAAAAAAAATTTGTGACTCTGTGGTAATGGATGGTAACTAGAATGTGGTGATCATTTCGCAGTATCTACAGAAGGTGAATCATTATTTGTATACCTGAAACTAATGTTACATGTCAGCTACATCTCAGTTTAAAAAAAAAAAGAAGAATTTGGAACTTTCCAGGGCTAAGGAGGCCAGATAGAAGAGGGAGAAAGACAAAGCAATCATAATATGAAAACGGAGTGTGCAGTATGTAATATAATTCCTCCCCAGGTTACCCAATTGGTAGTAAAGTTGACTAAATCCATAAAGGCCTCCACGGTTCCCCTGGAATTATGTTGCAAACATAAATCTGACCTGGCGACACGCTCTTCTAGAGGACCCCAATTACCTATAGGAACCGCCACAGTCCTCACTGCCATCACGGCCTTTCATAACTAGCCCTGTCTGTTCTGCCTTGACATGTGGGATATTGGCTGTGCACTTGCACACTTCACAGTCTTCCTGTGCCTTGGGTTGGGTTGTCATTCCCTGTCTACTTTGCAAACTCCTGCATATCCTGTAAAACCCCACTTAAACATCATATCTCTTTTGCTCTCTAGGACTTAAGAATCACTTCTGCATGTGAATAAGAATTAATTCCTTCGCATGTGTCTTTCCGTAGCTCTTTATTCATACCTTTCTTATGGCACCTACTGCAATTTAGGTATTTATGTATTGGTGGTTTCTACTTGGCTATAACCTAACCCTCCGAGAAACATGGGACTGACATAGACCGTGTATAATAAATGGCACTAAAAAGGCCCAAGTGCTTCCGTTGGAACAATGATCAAAAACTAGTTCCTGCAAGTGAGTAGTATATGCACACTTGAAGCTTCGTTTGCCCTGTGTCAGGAGTTGCCAGAATCAGCTGGCATGGGGGACCTGGAGTGACCATGGTGGCTGGCTCTCTGGGGGACTGATGAACAGAATGGAAGAGTGATAAGTTCCTGACCATTGGGGGGGATGCAAAACATGTACCAAGTGATCCTTGGAGACGCCTGCCTGGGAGTTGCCACTGAAGGTCAGCAGAAAGATGAGCTGGGGGGACAGAAGAGTTTCAGTTGTGAATAATGAAGGGGAACGGTGTTACTCATAATGTTTGTATGCAAATGATCCTTTAACTGCATGAAAGTGATTTCCCTGGCTTACGAAGCTAATTCTCAAATTCTTAGTTGTCCTGCTTAACTGTCAGAGCTTAATGTTCTTAAAGGCTGAGCTTAGCCCCTTATCTTGACTTGGTGCCTGTCTTATTTTGTTCACAAGAATGGGTGTCCTTTTATCTTATTTCTTCTTCCTGTAGTAACCACATCACCACCAGAACTCTTTTCTCTTAATACGTATAACTTGTCCGACTCCAGAGTTGTCAGTGGTTTGACATGCCATGTTCAAGCCACAGCCAAAAGTTATTAAAAAGACTTCTCATTCTTGTTATTTTTTAGTGTTAACATTTTCTAATAGGTAATGAATGTATTTGTGAGGCTGAAAGCTCAAAACAATATAAAAAGTATACTTTGGGAAAAGAGTCCTTGCTCCCACCTGTTTCCCTTCACCCCGTTTCCCACATTCCCCATAGTAATCACTTGCATTCGTTTTTTTAGGCACAGTTACAGTGTTGACTTACGTGAAAATGAGCAATGAAAATGCATATTTTCATCTTCCTCCTGTGGTAGACAGAATAATGGCCCCCCAAAATATCCACATTCTAATCCCCAGAACCTGTGAATGTTACCTTTTATGGGAAAAGGAATTTTTTGCAGGTGTGTTTAATTTAAGGATCTTGAGATTCTCCTGAATGGGTCCCTGGTAACCCCAAGTGCCTTTATGAGAGGGATGCAGTAGAGTAAGAGTGAAGACAGGAGGCAATGTGGGGAGGGGAGATTTGAAGATAAGGAAGGGGTCATGAGCCAAGGAAAGACAGTCTCCAGAAGCTCTTCAGCAAGGAAATGGATTTGTGCCTGAGCCTTCAGAAGGAACCAGCCCTGATGACAGCTTTAGCTCAGTCAGACTGATTTTGGACTTCAGACTTCCAGAACTATTAGAAAACAAATGTATGTTGTTGTAAGCCACTAAGTCTGTGATCATTTATTACAGCAGCAATAGGAAACGAATATACCCTTTTCCTTCACACAGAAGTGACAGGAAGGGCGCCTGGGTGGCTCAGTTGGTTAAGCGACTGCCTTCGGCTCAGGTCATGATCCTGGAGTCCCTGGATCGAGTCCCGCATCGGGCTCCCTGCT